CTGGGGGGGACCTCGCTGGTGTGTAGGTGGGATGGGGCTACGAGAGCCGGGTCCCACTCTGCGGGCGGAATTGTGCTTCTTGATCCTCATAGGGTGATCCTCCGAGCGCAAGGGGTGCAGTATGAGGTTATTGATGACCCTTTAGTGGTGGAGGCGCTTGTCCTCAGAGAGGCTCTCCTCTGGTGTGTGGCCAATGGGATTCAGGATGTGCGTTTTGAAGGCGATGCCAAAATCATCATTGATAAGGTCAATCACGCTGAGACTAATGATAGCAGGGTTGGAGTGATTCTGGACGAAATCAGGCATTATATGGGACATCAGCCGGGGTTTAGTTTGCGATTTATAGGTCGGAGAAACAATAGGGTAGCCCATGCGGTGGCTAGAAAGGCCCTTTCTTTGTCCCCGTCTATGTGTCGCGGGTTTAATTTACAGACCTGGCTGTTCTCCAGGATGTAACCGTATCTATTTTTCAATCAATATATGATTATCTTTTGTCAAAAAAAAAGGAACCCCACTAAAGTGAGCTGGGTACAAATTTTGGAATTTTGACCTAGCACTAAAGATGGTGTAAGGGTTATGCTTCCTATCATCGATTGAGATATAGAGAAAGAATGGATTCTACAGAATAAAGGTTGAGGGATGACAATAGGAATGACAATCGATTCGGGCCTAATTGCACATGTTTTGTCCCCGTTTTACTTAGTTGTTTGTGCCAAATTCGCTCCTTAAAAATTGGTTTTATGCTAGGTTCTTCGTGTTTGAGTGTGTTTCAGGAATCAACAGGTGAAACTAGCCTCAGAGTCGAAAGATTGGCTAAAATGATTGAAAACCGAGAGAAGAGGCGAAAAAGAGCCAGTTCACGGCTAACTGAAGGAGTTCACGGTTGTGCAAGACCGTGAAGAAGGGGAGTTGACCGTGAATCGCGAGGCGTCCAGAGCCAATGTGAAGATTACTGATGCAAGGTGAGTTCACGGTCACTAAGACCGTGAACATAGGCAGTTGACCGTGAACAGACGTGAGCGATGCGTAGCGTTTTGGCGCACGCCTTGAGTTCACGGACGCGTTTGATGGTTCACAACCGTGAACTCAGGCCGTGAACTCAATGCTTCTCAGGTTTAAAAGATGAGCTGAAAGGAGGAGAGAGGGAGAGCCCACTATTGTGTGGAACACCTTTTTCAGCATTCTAGTGAGAGAAACAGAACCAAAGGGAAGAACAAAGTTAGGGTTTGGCTTCATGGAAGATTTTGGGAAGATTTCCCCCAAGGAAAGCTCAACTCAAGGGTCAAGAAGACAGGGAGCCTCCTCAAAGATGGTTTCCACCTTTTTCCCTTTTGTTCTTCCCACTTCTAGCATGGAGTAGACCTCCTTTCACTTGGGTGTAGTGAAACCCTAACTCTACCATGTAGTTTTCTTGTATGTTTTATGTGTTTTGGATGATTGACATTGGGTATTGTTCAATTCAATGATTGAGGCATTATTCACCATGATTGTGCATGCTTGTGCTTAGCAACTTAGGGGTTGTGCATGTTTTGTGCTTAGCATCCTTAGGTTTGTGCATTTAGGCGCTTAGCAACCTAGGGATTGTGCATAATTGTGCTTAGCACCCCCTAAGTTTGGGCAGTAAGGTGCTAGTAATCCAATTTGCCAACTTAGCCTAGTTTAGAGAGGAAAATCCCCCTTTCAAGGGAGACTCAATCGAGTTGTTTTTCCTTCCGCTTTCTAAGCCACCTAAACTAGGTAAAGTTAGGGAAACCCTCAATATTGAATTAAGCAAGTTGATTAATCGTGATTAAACCGTCCGACCTTAGAGTTGAGTGAGGGAGTAAGTCAATTACCGATTGTCCAAACCGAGAGGGTCGAGTGACACAGCCTTTCATCCTCAGCTCGGTTTGGCAATTAAGACTGTGGTCTCTGACCACATATGCATTCCTCTGCGGTTCACGATTAACGTGCCCAAGGAAATCGTTCCAATCCACATAGCATGGTAGCGGTTAGGGGGAAGCGATACCCAAGTGACTTTCCCACAAAAGAGTTTTCAAACCCAATCACCTTTGCTTTCTTTTATTTCAATTAGCAAACCTTTTAAACCAAAGTTTAGTTGCTAGATAATGATTTCAACAACGGAATTAGGGATAGACGGGCCGGTCTGGGTCGATATCTAAATACTTTCCCTATACTACACCCGATTAGAGTTTAAAAACTTGGGCTCTAATTGGGGTTTTATTGTGGTGTAGTTTCGTGTTTGTCAAGTTTTTGGCATCGTTGCCGAGGACTTACGGTCTGTTATTCTGAAAAAGTTGTTGGTTGTTAATCTAGCTTTTAATTTCCAGTTTTGCAAGTGTGTGTTCTTTGCTTGTGCTAGACTTGGTGTTTTCCGATTGTGTGTAGGTGGTGCATGACCCGGAGTAACCCGACACCCTTGCTACCACTTGACGAGGACATAAACCGAACCCTCCGACTCCTAGCAAGGGAGAGATAGCTAGCCGAGGCAAGGAGAAGGAGTGAAAGAGGGGGACAACAATTGAGTCCCGGTGTTAGTGGAGAAGGAGTTGAAGAAGTCGAAGTTGAACCCGTCATTAAAGAGGAAATGGCGGGGAACCAAAGACAAGATGGAGGCGCTCAATCGCGCCATATGAATAAGGCGGTGGGAGAAGAAGGAGCCCCGAGGACGATGGGGGTACTATATGGTCCCAAGGCCGGCGGACATTCAATCTCCAATCTAACATCCTCCGGTGGCGGCAAACAATTTCGAGATCAAGCCGGCTCTATTGACCATGATACAAAGTAATGCTCTATTCCACGGCCATGAAAGCGAGTCACCAAGAGAGCACATGTAGAGATTCTTGGGGCTCGCAGGGAGCTTGAAAATTAATGGTGTGTCGGTCGAAGCTTTGCAACTAAGGCTTTTCCCATACTCACTCTCGGGGAAGGCACTTAGGTGGCTAAACAACCGCCCACCTCGGTCTATCACCTCATGGGACGACCTCCTCCACAAGTTTATGGCTCGTTATTGCCCGCCTTCGAAGACAGCGGAGTGGAGAAAGAAGATTACACATTTCGAGCAAGAAGAGGACGAGACTTTGAGGGATGCTTGGGAGAAGTACTCCGATTACTTTCTTCAGTGCCCTCACCACGGGTTTGAAGAACAGTTTCAGATTGAAACCTTCTACGGTGGCCTAATGCAAGAAGATAAGATCCTCATTGACCCTTGTGTCAAGGAATGTTGATGAATATGGCTCCGCCCCAAATAACTGAGATCCTAGAAGATATGGCCCTTAGGGGGTATGATTGGGGGTTGACTAGAAGTGTAAGAAGAAGCAATGATAGGGGAATGAGAAGCGTGGGAGCGAGTGCTCCGCTTGAGGCAAAGTTGGATAAGTTGTTTGAGGTTAAGCTTAAAGATAAAATGCAAGGAAAACGGGTGGTAATGTCGTGCGACTGGTGCTCGAGTACTAGCCATGAGATGGAGGAGTGCCAAGAAATGAAGGAAGCAACCACTCCGGAGGAGCAAGTAAACTTCGTGGCAAATGCTAGGGTCAACAACCCGCATAGTAATACTTATAACCCCCGGATGGAGGAACCACCCCAACTTTGCTTGGGCTCACCGGTTAATCCGAGGCCTCCGTGTTTCCAAGGCCCCACGGGGAACGTCCAACCTCGGCCAACCTTCATCCAACAAAGGTGATAACGATGTAATTGCACATATTTGCGCCCCTAGTTCTTATCCGTTTGAGGGGCATAGTCGTGTATTTTTGGCCTATTTTACGCCGGGTTGTGCTATTTTGTCATATTTCAGGTCCCAGGCGTCAAAGGAAAGGCTAAGCACGAGTTTCGGGGCATTCGGAAGTCATTTCGTCGAGCTGGAGCCAAAACACGGGCACACCTAAAACAGAACACGGCCGTGTTTTGCGGCCGTGCTTTTACTGCCGAGAGCTAATTGAGTTTGGCAAATTCAAGCTGCAAACACGGGCTGAAAGCACGGCCGTGTCCACCAAAGCACGGTCGTGTCCTCCCAAAAGCACGGCCGTGTTTCTCCCAACACAATGGCCGTGTAATTAACCCTAGCCAAAGCACAGGCGGGCTGAGGCAAAGCACGGCCGTGCCCTCGACCATGCTTTGGCCACTGATGCCCTTTTAAGCAGATTTTCAGCCAAAGAGAAGGGGATTCGAGTTTTGAGAGAGATAGAGCGATTCCTAGAGAGAGAAAGCGACGAACAAGAGTCTCCAAGCGCCCTAGATTGATCTTCAACACCATTGGAGGCCAGCTTGAGCTTGGAGAAGTGCCGATCAACGTCCAGGAGCAGGAATCCATCCTTCACAGTATGAATTCCGCGTCTGATTCTGCTTTTGCTTCTTTCTCCATGGAGTAGTTCTCCCATTCATCTGGGTATGGAGAACCCTAGATTTGTATGTTAGGTTTGATTGTATGAACCCAAGTACTGATTCTATGATTTGATTATATTCGATTGAGGTTTGAATGATTGAATGACTTGAATCCTGATCAAATTCCTGTTGTTTCTGCTTTGACCTAGAATGAGAATATCTGCCTAGGTTGATAGAGCACCCTTGATTGAAGGTAGGGAGTTGGTGACTTTAGTCGAGGAGCCAACTCACTATTCTGTACCGGATTTACTTCGGTAGTGGAGGTTTTGTTTGTTAAGGCCTCAATCTGTTTACTCCGGTGGAGGTTAGTCGCCCGCTAGAGACTCAGATTGAGAGGGTCTGAAGACCTTTAGTCGAGACTTCAGGATGTTTAAGAACCTTCCGCAGTATAACTATCATAGAAACTGAACTTGGTAATTACAATCCGGCTTAACTGCAGTCTAGGGGGAACCATAGCCGGATGACCTCTCTTAACCTGAATACAACAGTTTACTTGCTTTGTTAATTTGTTAGTTTAGACTTGCATTAAAGTTTCATTGCTAGATAACAAGAATTCACTGAGTAGTCATCAAATCTAGGACCCGGGTTGATAATTAAACCTAAACCCGCTATACTACGCTTTAGGAAGTGGTTTCACTTGGCCAATTCCTGGAGTGACAGTAGAAGTGAGCCAAAAGGCCCCAACTCCAAGGCGCAAACTTTCAACGACCATACCAATCACAAGGTGCTCTAGGGTTTCAACAACAACATAAACCCGACAAATTATCCAAGCTTGAGGACCTAGTGAACACCTTTGTGAGTACGAGTAGCCAAAAGTTCGAAAAAATAGAGCAATTCATGGATGTGGCGACCACCAAGTTTACCTCGGTTGAGCCGGGTCTTCAAAGCCATCAAACGAGCCTTCAAAGCTTGGAAGTGCAAATTGGCAACCTTGCCGGTATCCTCACCGAGAGACCCAAGGGACCCTTGCCTTCCCAAAGCATGGCGAATCCCAATCAAGCCGGGGTGAATGCACTTCAAGTGAGGAGTGTGAAGGTGGTTCCGGAAGTTGCCACTAATGAAGTGGTGGATAATGAGGATTCCAACAAGGAAGAAACAATCCCGAAAAAGGGAGAGAGGAAGGCGGCAAGGAAGGCATTGTCGAAGGATGGATACGTGCCACCTCTTCCTTATTCCACAAGGATGTACAAGGAGAGGGTGGACAACGATTGTGGAGGGTTCATGGAAATGCTACGCAACCTCCACCTCAACATCCCATTCCTCAAAGCCATGGCGCAAATGCCAAGATATGCCAAGTACGTCAAAGGATTCCTCATCAATAAGCCAAAGCTTGAAGGCCTTGCCAGCGTGACTCTTGGCGAGGAGTGCTCGGCTTTCCTCCTCGACCGCTTGCCCAAAAAGCGGTCCGCCCCAGGTAGCTTTACTATCCCTCTTGATATTGGTGATCACCATATAGACAATGCCTTGGCGGAATTAGGAGCTAGTGTGAATGTGATGACGTACAAGCTTTTCAAAAAGTTAGGAGTAGGTGAACTTAAGACCTCTAAGCTTAGCATCACCTTAGCTGACTGTTCGGTCATTAGCTTGAGAGGTATAGTGGAGGACATGATGGTGAGAGTGGGTAAGTTTTGCTATCCGACCGATTTCGTGATTCTCGACATAAGTGAGGACTCAGATATGCCCCTCATCCTCGGTCGTCCCTTTCTTGCAACCGCCAAGGAATTGATAGACGTAAATGAGGGAACCCTAATTTTGAGGGATGGTAATGAGAGAATCAACCTTGAAATTGATCCTAGGGTGAGGAGTGATGAAGTGAAGGGGGTAGTTTCAAATGATGTGAATGAGAGTGGGGGAGAGCCTCCCAAGGCAAACCCCACCGTTACTTGTGTTATCTTTGATGATGTTGAGAAGGAAGTTAAGAAGGGTCTTAAGCCCAAAGGACCAAGATTGAATGCTTGGAGAAGAAGGATGAAGGGAGCTTTGGCCGGGAAGACGGGGAGGGCCAAAGCAATGTTGGCCAACCAAGAGGGCCAACTCAAGGAACCTAAGATGGGAGGCTACAAGCCTCGCCCCAAGAGTGTGGCAGATCCGCTCTCGGTGGCATCACGTTTGAAGCCGTGATTGATCCCCAACCGTCAAGCTAGTGATGATAAACAAGCGCTTGTTGGGAGGCAACCCAACAGAGGTTTGTTTTCTTTTCCTTAGTTTTCGTTTTAGTGTCTTGTGAAGGGTTCAAGTGGTGAAGTGGTGTCCCCGTGCCGAGTTTTGTGATTTTGCGGTTTATGGTTGTGTTCTGATCGATTAGGAAGCACAGAGGAATAGGTTGAGTCAAATTTTTTGCAGAAGTGCCCTGTTTTCACTTGAGTTCACGGATGGATTGCTGATTTCACGGTCGCTAAGACCATGAACAGGCAAACGAGTCCGTGAACTCGGCGCTGATGCATGTTCATCACCTATCAACCACTCCGTGTTCACGGACGCATTTGCGAGTTCACAGAACGCGTCTGTGAATTCAGAGCTGTGCCTATAAAAGGGGCGTGAATGGCAACCCTTCACTTCACGACCAAATTCTCGCCGGAAAATTCAAATCTTTGCCATAAAACGCGAAAACCCGTCGCTTTTTAGTCTTTCCCCCATTTCCGGCGAGCAAAACCCAAAACCAATGTCATACCCAGCCTCCTCTCCTCAAAATCAGCCTGTGCTGAGATTGTGGGGAGATTTGGAGCATATTATTTTCGGCCCAGTCACCGGCGGTGAGTCACCGGCGACGAGTCTCCGACGAGCTTCCGACGAAGCTCCGGTGACCCCTCTCCGGTTAGTTTTCCGACTGTTTTTCACCATCCTCGCCCGCACCTCACTTCCTCGTACATCCCACTTGTGACTCTAGGTTTGTTTTCGACTCTACCTTTGTGAACTGTGGAGAATCGGATTAGGTAGTGAGGTGAGGTTAATTTTTTGTGCTTTGCATGATTGAACCTAGATTTAGGGCGACGACTTAGGTCGTGTGATTGATGGATTGATTATTGCATGAGCTTAGTAAGCCTTGGTGGGCGTGCTTGCATCAAATTGTGCTTATTTTTAGAATTTGCCCACCAAGAGCTATGTTATGAATGCAAGTGGAGGTTTTTTTTTGTTTGGTGGATGGTAGCCACCGTTGTAGGGGTTGTGGTTCAACTTTTTGTGTGCTTGAACCGTGAAATACCAACAAACATGCCATGGTGGTTTGAGCTTCAATGTTTTAGCCATGGTGGAAAAACAAGTGGGGGGGGGGATTTCTTTTCCTCCCAACGAGCGGTATATGACGATTATTTCCAAGTATGGTGTATGTTCGTGTTTGTGCAGGATGGTTAACATGGATCACCCATATCTTATGGAGCTAAGGAGCAGCCCTGAAATGGAGCAAGAGGCGTTGTTCTGGGCATCCTCAAGAGTCGGTAACCATTGGAAACTCGACTTCGCTCAGTTTGATAGGCTTCATTGCGGTGACGCTATGAGAGAGGCAGTGGTGCACCCCCAATGGCGCCAAGCCCTTGATCTTGAAGATGACACTTACGGGGAGCTTTGCGTCGAGTTTTTCAGCACCTTCTCCATACGCAAGACCTTATGCCTACTCGGTCATCCGGTACACCGCGTCGAGTTCCGATTGGGAGGGGAACCTCGTGATTTGAGCTATGACGAGTTAGCCAGAGCCCTCGGAGTGGAAGCCAACCGTAGGGATGAGTGGGAGGAAGATGTCATTCGAAGTTTTGACGCGAATGCCGCGTTTCTGAAGATGTGTCTTCCAAAGTACCGAAGGACGAAGTTCAAGTCGGCCCTCACAACGACATCCACACTACAGCCCCAGTGGCGTGTCCTGGTTGCACTCCTGGTTCGTTCCCTCTACCCGACTTACCACAATCCGAACAAGATTATCGAGAGAATCTTGCTGGGGTGTGCTTGCATGGCGGACCGGTCAAGCACATTGCACCTGGGTTTAGTCATAGCCACATCTTTTGCCAGGGCCAAAGGGGGGACCCATCGTTACGTCACATCCATGGGTCCGTACATCACCCGCCTTGCTAGATACTTCAATGTCAACCTTTCAGGATGCTCGAAAGAGGGAGGAACCCAGAGATTTGACGAAGGCACTCTGCACTCCATGCGCTTATTGCATACCTTCGGCCCCACGCGGTACATCAAAGGATTGAGTCCCGACCCCGAGGTCCCACCAGCAGCAGAGCAGCCACCTACTCGTGCTCCCGGCCGCCGTCGCCGCCCTACACTGCAGCCACCACCACCAGGACCAGGTGATCCCCTCTTCCATCCCAACGAGCGGTATATGACGATTATTTCCAAGTATGGTGTATGTTCGTGTTTGTGCAGGATGGTTAACATGGATCACCCATATCTTATGGCGCTAAGGAGCAGCCCTGAAATGGAGCAAGAGGCGTTGTTCTGGGCATCCTCAAGAGTCGGTAACCATTGGAAACTCGACTTCGCTCAGTTCGATAGGCTTCATTGCGGTGACGCTATGAGAGAGGCAGTGGTGCACCCCCAATGGCGCCAAGCCCTTGATCTTGAAGATGACACTTACGGGGAGCTTTGCGTCGAGTTTTTCAGCACCTTCTCCATACGCAAGACCTTATGCCTACTCGGTCATCCGGTACACCGCGTCGAGTTCCGATTGGGAGGGGAACCTCGTGATTTGAGCTATGACGAGTTAGCCAGAGCCCTCGGAGTGGAAGCCAACCGTAGGGATGAGTGGGAGGAAGATGTCATTCGAAGTTTTGATGCGAATGCCGCGTTTCTGAAGATGTGTCTTCCAAAGTACCGAAGGACGAAGTTCAAGTCGGCCCTCACAACGACATCCACACTACAGCCCCAGTGGCGTGTCCTGGTTGCACTCCTGGTTCGTTCCCTCTACCCGACTTACCACAATCCGAACAAGATTATCGAGAGAATCTTGCTGGCGTGTGCTTGCATGGCGGACCGGTCAAGCACATTGCACCTGGGTTTAGTCATAGCCACATCTTTTGCCAGGGCCAAAGGGGGGACCCATCGTTACGTCACATCCATGGGTCCGTACATCACCCGCCTTGCTAGATACTTCAATGTCAACCTTTCAGGATGCTCGAAAGAGGGAGGCACCCAGAGATTTGACGAAGGCACTCTGCACTCCATGCGCTTATTGCATACCTTCGGCCCCACGCGGTACATCAAAGGATTGAGTCCCGACCCCGAGGTCCCACCAGCAGCAGAGCAGCCACCTACTCGTGCTCCCGGCCGCCGTCGCCTCCCTACACTGCAGCCACCACCACCAGGACCAGGTGATCCCCTCTTCCATCCCAACGAGCGGTATATGACGATTATTTCCAAGTATGGTGTATGTTCGTGTTTGTGCAGGATGGTTGACATGGATCACCCATATCTTATGGCGCTAAGGAGCAGCCCTGAAATGGAGCAAGAGGCGTTGTTCTGGGCATCCTCAAGAGTCGGTAACCATTGGAAACTCGACTTCGCTCAGTTCGATAGGCTTCATTGCAGTGACGCTATGAGAGAGGCAGTGGTGCACCCCCAATGGCGCCAAGCCCTTGATCTTGAAGATGACACTTACGGGGAGCTTTGCGTCGAGTTTTTCAGCACCTTCTCCATACGCAAGACCTTATGCCTACTCGGCCATCCGGTACACCGCGTCGAGTTCCGATTGGGAGGGGAACCTCGTGATTTGAGCTATGACGAGTTAGCCAGAGCCCTCGGAGTGGAAGCCAACCGTAGGGATGAGTGGGAGGAAGATGTCATTCGAAGTTTTGACGCGAATGCCGCGTTTCTGAAGATGTGTCTTCCAAAGTACCGAAGGACGAAGTTCAAGTCGGCCCTCACAACGACATCCACACTACAGCCCCAGTGGCGTGTCCTGGTTGCACTCCTGGTTCGTTCCCTCTGCCCGACTTACCACAATCCGAACAAGATTATCGAGAGAATCTTGCTGGCGTGTGCTTGCATGGCGGAACGGTCAAGCACATTGCACCTGGGTTTAGTCATAGCCACATCTTTTGCCAGGGCCAAAGGGGGGACCCATCGTTACATCACATCCATGGGTCCGTACATCACCCGCCTTGCTAGATACTTCAATGTCAACCTTTCAGGATGCTCGAAAGAGGGAGGCACCCAGAGATTTGACGAAGGCACTCTGCACTCCATGCGCTTATTGCATACCTTCGGCCCCACGCGGTACATCAAAGGATTGAGTCCCGACCCCGAGGTCCCACCAGCAGCAGAGCAGCCACCTACTCGTGCTCCCGGCCGCCGTCGCCGCCCTACACTGCAGCCACCACCACCAGGACCAGGTGATCGCCTCTTCCATAGGGTGGATCTCCTTGAGATGAGCTTCATGGGATTCTCATCCCGCCTAGAGTGACTGTCTGACATCCTCGAGCTCATGGCTCGACGCCAGGGTATCCTACCCGATTCTGGAGAGGGTCCGTCCATAGGAGAGAGGTAGCCGACGAGAGAGACATGAGGCAGAGCGGAGTCTTTTCTCCCCACTTCTCTACTTGTAACCCTAAACTTGTTTTTTTATTTGTGTGTGTGGCATAAACTACTAATAGTATGTATTGTGCTTGTAATAACCTCACCTCGAGCGAGTCGTATTGTGCTTGTGTGTGTTTTTTGTTGTCTCTCCTTGAAGCTCAAATTATCCTACACCGGTTCGATTCCTACATTCACTCACCAAGCCCAAGGGGTAACATCACTCTACCCCTTTTTTACGCTATTGAGGGCAATGTCAAGTTTGGGGGGGGGGGGGTAGTCTACTAGTATGCTTGTGTGAGTGAGATGTTGCTTGGAGCCTTTTGTATGCCCAATTTTCAAAAATTTGAGGGCTCCAAGCAATGTTTGCATGTTCAAAGTGGCCGGATGGTGAGAAATTCTCATGTTTGTGGCATTGATCTTGAATTGTTGCATGTGATCGAGTATATCCTATGATGATGACTGAGAAGTTCATTAGGATAGGGAAAAAGTTTAGCTCTCAAGTGTGCATAAATGAATGGATGTCTTGACTTGATCACTTATTGTTTACAATTGCCATGCATCGTGTTTGTGAATTGGAATAGATGGTTGGATAACTAGGTAGCCTGTGAGCTTTGAGCCGTTTGTTTCTTTCAGTGTGATAGTTCCCTCTTACCACGGT